AAAAAAAAAAAAAAAAAAAAAAAATTTTTTTTAATTAAAAAAAAAGGAAATTCTTAGACTCCAGCCCCAGAGATTCAGAGTCAGTAAGTCTGGAGTGGTACCCAGATGATGCTGATGCAGTTGGTCAAAGACTGCATTTTAAGGAAATACTGCTTTTACTTACCTTCCCAGGTCTCCTGAGAGAGAACTGTGTTTTGCCAGGTATTAAAGTAGCTACCATATTAGATTTGGATGCCATGCATTTGAAAGACATTTGATCAACATTATTTGATACTGGTCCCCCTCCAGTATAAGAATAATGGAGCTTACCAAATGTCAAGTTAAGACCTATGCCAGCTGATCCTACAGGGTCTATCTTATAGAACTCACTGGAATAATATTCCTAAACGTTCACCCATTGGGCTCTTTCTCTCTTGGCAGGATCTCCCAGCCATCCAGCCCCGACTAGTAGCAGTCAGCAAAACCAAACCTGCAGATATGGTGATTGAAGCCTACAGTCATGGCCAGCGCACTTTCGGGGAGAACTACGTAAGATCCCTTTTCCAAACTCCCTTTGGAAGAGTTGTGATTGCCAGGCTTCTCACTTGTTCTGTTTTTACCCTTCAGGTTCAAGAACTGCTAGAAAAAGCATCTAATCCCAAAGTAAGTGAATATCTGAATTCTTGAGTTTGCATCTAATCTTGGCTCCGCAGTTGAAAGTTAGACCCTTGTTGGTGGTTGGGTTTTATAGCAAGGTTGACTGGCAGTAGAAATGTCTCCATTCACCTCGAGCTCCAAATAAATCTCAGCTAGATTTTCTTTCTTTATTAAAACTAAGACTATAGTCATCTCCTTTGCAGCTTTTTGGATATGGTAATTTAGGAGCTTGCTATAATCCTGGATCCTCTGAGATTGGAAAGCTTTACTCAGTTCATCTTTCTTGGGTTTTTTTTCATTTTTTGTTTTTTAAAGAAGTCTCCACACCCACCATGGGGTTTGAACTCATGACCCTGAGATCACAAGTCGCATGCTCTACCAACTGAGCCAGCCAGGTGCCCCATAATCAGTTCGCCCTTAATGGATGATATCTAAAAGATGGAGGGAGCTAATGGGAATAAGGAAGAGGAACAGAGCAGAAGCCTTAGGTAGTAGTATCCTTAGGAGCCCAGCTGAAGAGGGTGATAGCAGTTTATTGCATAGACATGAGAAGTCAGAAGGGAGTGTGTAAGGTATTTGAGCCGGCATGGCCTTCATAAATTCTGAGTCAGACATGGTTACCTTTTTTCCTTCAGATTCTGTCTTCGTGTCCTGAGATCAAATGGCACTTCATTGGCCACCTACAGAAACAAAATGTCAACAAATTGATGGGTAAGATAAAATTCTAAACATGAAGACAAAATTTCTCTATCATTATACTACTTATACTACTTTCTGTGAAAAAGAGAACAGTTTTTAGAATAGTCCTAATTCACCGTTTGTGTTTTGGAGTTTTGGGGAAAAAAATGTTAAGTGCTTAGTATAAGGAAAAAGCCTCATACCAAGAACAGAATGAATTCACCATTGACTGGGTTGTATGTACTTGGAAACCTACCCTACTTTGTGTTAGGTATCATTTGGTAGTCTTCCAAATAAGTTATAAGGAATTGTAGCCCATAAAATTATTCAGTGGGCAAGGGAGACATTTTTCTCCTTTTCCCTCTGGATGTAAGACTATGGTAAATGAAATATAATAATATACAGTAAATCAAATACAGTATATATTGTATATAAAATACAATATACAGTAAAGTACAATTAAGAATTAACTACAAAAGAACTTAACCATATGACAATGACATGTGGAGATCTGAGGAACTGAATACTTACTTCTCTCAAAGGTTTCTAAAATAACCTGTATTTTTTTAAGCAGCTTTTTTGAAATATAATTGACCTGTAGTAAATTGTATATATTTAAAGTGCACAATTTGATTAGTTTTGATGTATGTTTGTACTTGTAAAACCATCACCACAGTCAAAATAATGAACACATTCATCACCCCAAAAAGATTCCTCATGCCCTTTGTAATAACCCCTTCTTTCCGCTCCTCCCCACTCCCCTCCTCCAACACTACTTACCTGCTTTCTGTCATTGTAGATTAGTTTACCTTGCTAAGAGTTTTATATAAATGGAAATATAAAGTATGTACTTTTTTTTTGTCTGACTTCTTCCACTCAGCATAATTATTTTGAGGTTCATCATGTTGATTTGTGTATCAGTAGTTCACTCCTTTTTATTGCTTTATCCATTCACCCACTGATGGACATTTGGGTTGCTTCTAATGCGGGGCCATGACAAATAAAATTGTTATGGCAGTGGCGGAAAAAAAGCTGCTATGAACATCTTTGTATGGACTTTTTTTTTTTAATATTTATTTTTGAGAGAGAGAAGAAGAAGAAAGACACAGAGCACGAGCAGAGGAAAGGCAGAGAGGGAGACGCAGCATCTCAAGCAGGCTCCAAGCTGAGAGCTATCAGCACAGACCCCAACGCAGGGCTTGAACCCATGAACCATAAGATCATGACCTGAACTGAAGTCAGATGCTTAGCCAACTGAGCCACCCAGGCACCCCATATGGACTTCTTCTTATCTCTTAAAATAAATACCTAGGAGTAGAATGGCTGAATCTCACAATAAGTATATGTTTAATTTTTTTTTTAATTCTGAGAAAGTACACATAACATAAAACTTATCACCTTTAACTATTTTTAAGTATTCAGTTTAAAGGCATTAAGTACATTCATATTGTTTGCAGCCATCACTACTTTCTATCCTCTAGAGCTGTTTTCCTCTCTCAAAACTGAAACCCTGTACCCATCGTGTATGTTTAACTTTCTAAGAAACTGCCAAGCCATCTTCCAAAGTGGTTGTGACGTCGTACATTCCCACAAGCAGTGCTCGAGTTCTTCCACATCTTTGCCCACACTTAACACAGTCAGTCTTTTAATTTTAGCCGTTTTAGTAGGTATGTGGTAGTATCCTTGCATTATCTTAATGGCTTATGATGTTGAACATCTTTTCACATGGTTGCATCTGTTTATCTTCTTTGGTGAAGTGTCTGTTGAAGTCTTTTGCCATTTTCTAATTGGATTTTTTTCACTTTTAAGACAAGAGAATTCTTTATATATTCTGACTAGTCCTTTATCAGATACATGCTTTGCAAGTGTTTTCTTCCACTCTGTTGCTTGTCTTTTCATTCTCTTAACAGTGTTTTTTGAAGGGCCCAAGTTTCTAATTTAACGAAGCCCAGTTTATCAATACTGTGCTTTTGGTGTTGTGTCTGAAAAATATTTCTCTATAGTTCAAGTCACAGATTTTCTCTTAGCAGTTCTATAGTGTTCAGTTTTATATTAAGCTTCATTATTCACTTTGAGTTAATTTTGTATGTGGTGCAACGTATGATTCCAAGTTCTTTTGGTTTTCTGGGGGGTTTTTTTGCATATAAATATTTAATTGTTCCAACACTACTTGTTGGAAAGTCTGTCCTTTTTCCATTGCATTCCTTTGTACCTTTATCAAAAATCGATTATCTGTGAGTTTATTGCTAGACTATCTACTCTGTTCCACTGATCTACTTATCTACTTTTACACTGATAGCATGATATTTTGATTTATGGAGCTTTATAATAATTCTTAAAATGGAGTACTGTTAGCCCCCAGCTTGGTTCTTTTTCAAAGTCATTTTGGCTATTCTAGATCCTCCCCATTTCCATATAAACCAATTTGTCCATTTCTACCAAATATATATATATTTGTTATATATATATGTGTATATATATTATGTATATATATATGTTATATATATGTTATATATATATAAATATGTGTATATATATATGTGTGTGTGTGTGTATATATATATATGTTAGCATATATATCCAAAAGTATTTGAATTAGGATTGTATTGAATCTATAGATCAATATGGGGAACAATGACATACTAAAAATATTGAACCTCCCAACACATTAACAAGGTATAGCTCAGTAGTTCTTTAGGCCTTCTTTATTTTCTCTCAGTAATATTTTGTAGTTTTCATTGTGCAGATTTTCTTCATCTTTTTCCTGATTTATATCTTTGTTTTTCTTATATTTTGATGCTATCATACTGTTATTGATTCTGTTTAATTTCTGATTGTGTGTTGCTAATATATAATACAGTTGATTTTTGTATATTCATCTTGTATCCTGCAACTTTGTTAAACTCACTTATTCTAGTAGCTTTTTTTGCAGATTGCATATAATTTTCTACGTAGACAATTATGTTATCTATGAACAAAGACAACTTACTTCTTCCTTTCCAATCTGGATGCCTTTTATTTCTTTTTCTTACCATATTATACTAGCTAATATCTCCAATATGATATTGAGTAGAAGGGCTAAGAGTGTTACATGCATATTTTTCATGATGTGCTTTATCAGAAGGAGAAATTTCGCTTCTAATCCTAATTCGCTGAGAGGCTTTATCAAGAGTAGATGTTAGATTTTGTCAAATGCTTTTACTGCATCCATTGAAATGATCCTACAGTTTTTCTCTTTCAGTTTATTAACATGTTGAATTACATTTATTGATTTTCTATTGTTAAACTACTCCTATATTCCTAGGGATGAGCTCACTTGGTCATGCAGTATTATCCTTTTACTATAATGTTGCATTTGATTTGTTAAGTTTGTTTAGAATGTTTGCATCTAGGGGCGCCTGGGTGGCTCAGTCAGTTAAGCACCCAACTCTTGGTTTTGGCTCAGGTCATGAACTCATGGTTCATGGGTTCAAGCCCAGAATTGGGTTCTGTGCTGACAGTGTGGAGTCTATTTGGGATTCTCTCTCTCTCTCTCTCTCTCTCTCTCTCTCTCTCTCTCTCTCTTTTTCTCCCTCTCTTTGCCCCTCTCTTGCTCTCTCTCAAAAACGAATAACTAAACTTAAGAAAAAGTGTATGCATCTGTAGTCACAAAGGACATTGGTCTGTAGTTTTCTTATAATATCTTTTTGTAGATTTGATAACAGGATAATGCTGTCCTCATAGAATGAGTTGGGAAGTATTCCCAACCCTTCAGTCTTTTGGTAGAGTTTCTGTGGAATTGGTATTGTCTCTTTCCTAACTGCTTAGTAGAATTCACCAGTGAATCCTGGCGTTTCTTTGTAGGAAGGTTTTTAACTGTAGTTTCAATTTTATTAATAGATTTAAGACTATTCATATAATCTGATTTTTCTTGGGTGAGCTTTCAAGGTTCAAGGAGTTTGTCCATTTCATCTAGAGTAATGAATTTATGGGGCACCTGGATGGCTCAGTTGGTTAAGCATCCGACTTCAGCTCAGGTTATGGTCTCGCAGTTTGTGAGTTCGAGCCCCATGCTGGGCCCTGTGCTGACAGCTCAGTTCCTAGAGCCTGCTTCGGATTCTGTGTCTCCCTCTCTCTCTGCCCCTCCCTCACACTCGCGCACTCTCTTTCTTTCTCTCAAAAATAAATAAGCAATAAAAAAAATAAAGTAATGAATTTGTGAGCATTAGGTTGTTTGTAATATTCCTTTATTATCCTTTTAATATCTATAGGATCTGTAGTGATGTCAGCTGATTCCTGATGTTGGTAATGTGTGTCTTCTCTTTTTTTTTCCCCTAATCCATCTGGCTAGAGGTGTATCAGTTTTATCAGTCTTCTCAAAGAACTACTTTTAGTTTCATTAATTTTTCTCTATTGTTTTATTAGTATATGTTATATAAACAAAAATAATTATGTATTGTGGGATTTATAACATATGAAAAAGTCAAAATGCATGGCAACAATAGCATACAGAATGGAAAGTTAAGAAATAGAAGTACACAATTATAAGGTTCTTAAACTATGTATGAAGTAGTATAACACCACTTTAAGGTAGACTATGCATAAGTTCAACTTTAAAGCAACCAATAGGGGCGCCTGTCTGGCTCAGTCAGTAGAGCACATGACTTGATCTCAGGGTGTAGATTGGATGTAGAACTTATTTAAAAAATAAAATAAAGCAACCAGTAACACAGAGAATGATAGCTAATAAGTCAGCAAAGGAGATCAACTGGAATAATAAAAAAATTTGTGAAATGGTTTCTCATTGTGGTTTTGATTTGCATTCCCCTAATGACGAATGAAGTTGAACATGTGCTTATTGGCCATTTGTGCATCTTCTTTGGAGAAATGTTTATTCAAATCCTTTGTGTATTTTTTAATTGGGTTTTTTTATTATTGAGTTGTAAAAGTTCTTTATATATCCTAGGTAGCAGGCCTTTATGATGTATATCATTTGCAGATTTTTTTCTCCCATTCCATGGATTGTCTTTTGACTTTCTTTATGGTATCATTTGTAGCACAGAAATTTTTCATTTTCATGTACACTTTAATGTAAAATGGACATTTTAAAGTACATTTAGTGTACTTTGTCTCTTTTTTGTGTGTGTGGCATGTGCTTTTGGTGTTATAGCTAGGAAATCCAAGGTCACAAAGATTTTTTTTTTTTTAATAAACTCTATGCCCCATGTGGGGCTTGAAGTCACTACCCAGAGATCAGGAATCACATGCTTTACTAGCTGAGCCAACCAGGTGCCCCCAAGGTCACCAAGATTTACTCCTGTTTTCTTCTAAGAGTTTTATAGTGTTAGCTCTCACTTTTGGGATTTTTTGAATTCATTTTTATGTATAGCCTAAGGAAGAGGGAGGTGCAACTTCATTCTTGTCCTTTGAACTGTTTGCACCTTCACCTTTATTTTTCAGAGAAATGTTTGCTAACTATAGAATTCCAGCTTGACGGTTTTTTCTTTCAGGACTTTAAAGATGTCACTGTCTTCACTTACATTGTTTCCAGTGAGAAATAGGATGTCATCTTTATCTTGGTTCCTCTGTATGTAACGTGTTTTTTTTTCTTCTAGCTACTTACAAGATTTTCTCATGATCACTGGTTTTGAGCAATTTGATGATGATGTTTCCTGGTGTAATATTTTCCACATTTCTTGTGTTTGGGGTTCATGGAGCTTCTTGAATCTGGAGTTTATAGTTCTCGTCAAGTTTAGAATATTTTCAATCATTGTTTCTTCATATATATGTTCTGCCTCCCCACTCCCTCCCCACCACAACTTCTCTTCTCCTTTGGGGATTCCGGTTACCTGTTCATCTGCTTGAGGTGTTTCGGCAGCTCACTAATGCCCTTTTAATTTTTATGATTTTTTTCCTGTTTCATTTTGGATAATGTCTTCAAAGTAACTGATCTTCTTTAGCATTGTCTAATTTGCCATTAATTCCATCAGTGGATTTTTCATCTCCTACGTGTGGTTTTCATGCTAGAAGTTCAATTTGGGTCTTTTTTAAATATCTTCCCTGTCTCTCTCTATTTTTTAATAGATGGCACACAGTTATGGTAACTTTTAATGTGCTGTCTACTGATTCTATCATCTTTGACAGTCTGGAACAGTTTCAATAGATTGATTTAATATATCATATTTTCTGCTTCTTTGAGTCTTTCAGTCCTTCTTTTTTGGGGGGGGATAGCCAAACGTGAATTTTCTTGTTGGGGGCTGGTCAGTTTTGTATTCCTATAAATATTTTTGAGCTTTTTTGGAACACAGTTAAGTTACTCGGGAACAGTTTGATCTTTTTAGGTCTTGCTTTTAAGATTAGTTGGTGTGACCGGAGAGAGCTCAGTTCAGGGTTAATTATTCCCCATTTCTGAGGCAAGGCCCTCTGTATACTCTAGCCAGTGCCCCATGAATCCTGAATGTTCCAGCCTGTCTGATGGAAACGGGCACTATTCCATGCCCTCTGTGAACATCAGGCACTGTTTCTTCTAATCTTTTCAAATAGTTCCCTCCCCAGCCCTGGGTGATGCACGTGCCAGTCTGTACCCAGCTGAGTTCTGGAGGGGAGCCCTTTTAAAATCACCGGTGATGCCTCTGTATGCAGCTCTCTCCTCTCCCGAATTCTGTCCTGTGAACTCTAGCTGCATAGTCTTTCCATATTCTTAGCTCATGTCCTCATCCTAAGGCCCACGCTCTTCCTCTCTTCCCCTTTTCTGCAACACATTCTAGAAACTCTCCGGGAAGGAGAGGTGGGGCAGTCACTTCATGTGTTTCTCATGTCTCAGAGATCACTATGTCTCACTCTATGATACACAGGTCTTGTAAACCATTGTTTCATATATTTTTCACACATTTTGTCCATTTGGTTGTTCAGGTGGAATGGTCACTCTGGTCCCCGTACTGACTCCATCTTGTCAGGAAGCAGAAGTCTACTACACTATTCTTAAAAGCTATTTCACACTAGGTATGGGGGAAGTAGAGAGACTATTTACACTTAATAAATCGCAGCAAGACAATCAGCTTTTTAATTTGAGAAATAATTAAATTAGCTTCCCTTCCTCACAGTGTAAATTCCAGCTAGATTAAAGAATCCTAATGTGAAAAATCAAAACCCTGAAAGTGTTAGAAGAGGGGCACCTGGGTGGCTCAGGCGGTTAAGTGTCCAACTCTTGATTTAGGCTCAGGTCGTGATCTCATGGCTCATGAAATCAAGCCCCTCATTGGGCTCTGCCCTGACAGTGTAGAGCCTGCCTGGGATTCTCTCTCCCCCCTCTCTCTGCCCCTCCAGGGCTCGCGCACTCACACGCACCTCCTCTCTCTC